CTTACCTGGGCCAGAGGGCTCCAAGGTCTGGTCAGTGGAGGTCAAGGGCTCTGTTCCGGGGCTGTGGGAAGTGGGGCTCCAGTGCGGGGTCAGGGATTCGGAACTGGGGAGGGTGGAATGGGAAGAGGGGGTGAGCTCTGCATTGGGGGAACCAGAACTAGGGTGCGTGGTTGTCTCTGGTTGTGGGGAGGAGGGAATCATCCTTGACTCTGTGGAACCGGGGCTGGGCTGGATGGTAGGGGTTGCCCCTGAACTTGAGGGGCTGAGGTGGGTCATGGAGCCTGTCTCCAAACTAAGGGGGCTGGAGTAGGTTTTGGGGGGTTCCTCTGAACTGAGGGTGTTGTGGGTGAAGGGAGAAGAAATCAGAGAGCTGAGAGATGATGTCTCCATACTGTTCTCTGAGGTCGTACCTGAAAAGAAAAACATCATTGGAAGCCAGGCGCGGTGGCTCACGCCTGTAATTCCAGCACTTTGAGACGTCAAGGTGAGAGCATCACTTGAATCACTTGAGACCAGCCTGGGCAACATAGCGAGTCTCTCTCTCTCTCTTTTTTTCTTTTTTCTCTTTTGAGATGGAGTCTCGCTCTGTCACCCAGACTGGAGAGCAGTGACGCGATCTCGGCTCACTGCAACTTCCACCTCCCGGGTACAAGCAATGCTCCTGCCTCAGCCTCCACGCCTGGCTAACTTTTGCATTTTTAGTTTCACTGTGCTGGCCAGATTGGTCTCGAACTCCTGAACTCAGGTGATTCACCTGCCTTGGCCTCCCAAAGTGCTGGGATTACAGGCATAAGCCATCGTGCCCAGTCTTTCTATTTTTATTTTTAATTCATTTATTTGCCCAGGTCATAGGGAGACCCGAAAGATTTAGGACACCATGTGAGCGCTCAGTGGGATACTGAGGCTCCCCCTCAAATTCATGCTCCTTGTCTGAAGTCCCACAGCCCGGGTTCAAGTGCAGATCAGCGTTCCTCTTGGCTCAGATCTCTAGAAGCCCTTTGGATATGGGCAGTGACTGCATCCCAGGCAGCGCTGGGCAGCTCCTTTACATTTTCTGGGACTCAGTTTTCTTTTCTGTAAAATGGAAATCATGTGGAGTTGGTGCCTCTGACAGTTCATCAGTCAGGTTCGTAGTGGGTGTACACAAGCCAGGTGCTCCCAGCTACTGGGGAGGCTGAGGCGGGAGGATCTCCTGACCCCAGGAATTCAAGCCTGTAGTGCACCATGATTGCACCACTACACTCCCGCCTGGGAGACATAACGAGACCCTGTCTCTACAAAAAAATAAAACAAAAATTAGCCAGGCATGGTAATGCCTAGTCCCAGCTACTCAGGAGGTTGAAGTAGGAGGATCGCTTGAGTCCAGGAGTTCAAGGCTGCAGTAAGCCATGATCATGCCACTGAACTCCAGCCTGGGCAACACAGCAAGACCCCATCTCTAAAAAAAAAAAAAAAGGCCGGGTGCAGTGGCTCACACCTGTAATCCGAGCACTTTGGGAGGCCGAGGTGGGCAGATCACGAGGTCAGGAGATCGAGACCATCCTGGCTAACACGGTGAAACCCCGTCTCTACTAAAAATACAAAAAATTAGCCAGGCGTGGTGGCGGGCGCCTGTAGTCCCAGTTACTCGGGAGGCTGAGGCAGGAGAATGGAGTGAACTCAGGAGGCAGAGCTTTCAGTGAGCGGAGATGGCGCCACTGCACTCCAGCCTGGGCGACAGAGCAAGACTCCATCTCAAAAAAAAAAAAAAACAACCCACAATAGAATAGAAACATAGTGGGCGTACTATGACACTCAACTATAAAGATCTACCTATGAGCTCAGAGAGGATCAGCCCTAATTTCCCCCAGGTACCCCTAGGCTAACCTCAACTTTGATGGCAGACACAAAGACACAGGCACTGGGAACATGTCTCTGGAACCCACCCTCCCGCACGGTAGTCTAACCACTTCCTGGCTCCCATCCCATCCCAGGCATGGAGTCCAGGGACCAGGCTGAGGGCGGGTAAATAGTTCATGAGCCACCTCCCACAATGACTTCGCACTCAGTTCCAGGTATCTAGGCCTCTTAGGTGTGTACAAGTTCATTTATCAACTCTCTGCCCCACCCATCCACTCTGCTCTGGGCCAAACTTGGTGCTTCCTCCTTGACTCACCCCAGGCAGCAGAAATGCGGAAGTAACACTCAACACTGGCCCTGAGAGGGTGCTGGGTCCACATGCTGCCCTCCCCGGATCTCTATGTAGCCCCCCAGGACCTGTGGGGATGACAGCTGAGTCTAGAAGAGGCATGGAACTCGGGCTGGACTTCATTCCCATTTGACAGATGAGAAACTGAGGCTCAGAATAGCAGAGGGTCTGGCCTGAGGTGACTGGGGAGGTGGGCAGAAGGCCCCTCAAGGAACTTCGTCCTCTGTTTCTGCTGAAATGAAGAAGATTCAGAGGCCATAGTGGACCCCAAGCCAAGTCAGAATTCTGGGGAGCTGAGTGCTTAGTGAACTGAGGAAAAGCTGTGGACTTAAAAAAGGAAGAGTTGGAGGACACAAGCCCTGCTGAGTGCCTGGCACTGAGTAGGCACTGGTGAGCTGCTGAAGAGTTGACCAGAAGGTAAAAATAAAGCTGTTTCTAGGCACTGTGCTGGGTGTTTGCTTTTCCCAGAGACTCCTAGACTGGGAGGCTCACAGGAGCCAAGTCAACCAGTTCTAACCTGAGTCTGGGACAAGCTGGACTGAGCCTCAGTTTCCTGAGCTGTGAAATGGGAATACAAGTGGTGCCTTCTGAATGAAACCGTTCCCTACAATGAGCATTTCAGCCATGGTGGCCTCTGCTCTGCTATTACAGGTCTGGGGGGTAGGACACCAGTCAGAGAGAGTGACGACACAGTGGCAGGTAAAGGGCAGAAAAAGGGAATGCAAGAAGTTCAAGGCTCCTCCCCTCCACCCTAGGCACTGTCTTATAGCACAGCAAGAGGGAATTAAGTCAGACACCCAGAAGAACTTCTCATGGGAACCACAGATGTTTGACGACCAGGAAGTGAGTCCCTGTTCCCTGGAACACCCACGGCCCTGAGGTCTCCGCCATTCTCCCTTTGCGGATAGGCTCAAAGGAATAGATTTGAAAAGGAGCCTCAAAGTAGGTGTGAGGCCGTCTGTAGCCCCCAGCCGGTTCAGGGCTCACTGGAGTTGCAGAACCCACAGCCCCAGGGCTTGGGAGCAGCGGTGCCTCATCTGTCCTCACAGCTGCTCCGTTTGTTTCTGGGGGAAAGGCCAGCCTTCCCCGGAGCGCTGGTGGACCAGCGTGGCCTGAGGGAGGGGTCCAGAAGCCAGGTGTGTGACTGGGCTGTGCGTCCCCCACCCCCACCCTTCTGCTTTCTGGAAGCTGAGCCTCCCTTTTACCAGCTCTTACCTGTGTAGGGAGTACTGGTAGTGTTACTGTCATCAGCTTTTAGTGGCAGCACCAGCACCAAAAGCAGAAGTGGCGGCAGCTGGGGGCGCGCCATTCCTGTGCCGGGAGGGCCTGCCATCGGCTCTGCACAGGTGTGTGGCCAGGCGTGTACCCAGGTGCCAGCTCCTTGCACCTGGGCGTGCGCTCCCTGCTGGCGGAGTGCGGGGCTGTGCAGGGGCGAGGCGTAGGTGGGGCTTCAGGGTGTGGGACCTCCCTGGGGAGCTCCTGTTCCCCTGGGGTATGGTTCTCTCCCTCTTCACCTGGACTCCACCCCTTCTAAACATGACGACCCAGAAGCTCTCAAAGCCAGTCATCCACTAAAGACCCCTGCCCCTGACGTCCCCTTTCCCCCTGCTTCTGGCTCCACAGTGGCCCATACTCCTGCTGTCACTCCCTCTGCCCCTCCTCCTGCCAGGTTGCCCCCTCTGGGAGCCCCTATTGCCTCCACCTCCCTCCTGTCCCTGAACCCGCAGGGCTGGGGATGTCCTTATCCTCCTCTGTCCTCTGTCTCACCCAGACTGGAGCCTTTTGGGGACATGACTGAAACCTTCTTTTTTTGTTTTGTTTTTTTTTTTTTGAGACGGAGTCTCGCTCTGTTGCCCAGGCTGGAGTGCAGTGGCGCGGTCTCCACTCACTGCAAGCTCCGTCTCCCGGGTTCACGCCATTCTCCTGCCTCAGCTTCCCGTGTGGCTGGGACTACAGGCTAATTTTTGTATTTTTAGTAGAGACGGCGTTTCACCGTGTTAGTCAGGATGGTCTCGATCTCCTGACCTCGTGATCTGCCCATCTCGGCCTCCCAAAGTGCTGGGATTACAGGCGTGAGCCACCGCTCCCGGCCATGACTGAAACCTTCTAACCTAGCATTTCTCTTACGGATTTCTTTTTCTTTCTTTTCTTCTTCTTTTTTTTTTTTTTTTTTCTTCTTTTTTTTTTTTTTTTTTTTGAGACTGAATTTAGCTCTTGTTGTCCAGGCTGGAGTGCAATGGCATGATCTTGGCTTACTACAACCTCTGCCTCCTGGGTCCAAGTGATTCTCCTGCCTCAGTCTCCTGAGTAGCTGGGACTACAGGCATGTGCCATCATGACTGGCTAATTTTGTATTTTTAGTAGAGATGGGGTTTCTCCATGTTGGTCAGGCTGATCTCTAACTCCTGACCTCAGGTGACCCACCCGTCTTGGTTTCCCAAAGTGCTGGGATTACAAGCATGAGCCACGGCACCCAGCAATCCCGTAGAATTTTTTTAGGGGTGAGGGACTCGAAGAGGGTGCTCTGGGCCAGGTCCCAGACACATTGCTAGAGCACACTGGGGACAGTTTCCATCTGGGACGGGCTGGACACCACCCCACTACCTGTAGGTGGATATGGCAGGGGCACAGCTGAGACCACATTGGTGGCCCCTGACCTCCAGGAAAGACTTGAGGTCCTCATCCTGGCCACACACCCCAGATGCATATTGCATGGTTGGAAACTTCAGAGTTCTCTTCCCTCTGGGATGCTCCAGATTCCCCCACTATCCCCAAGCCACTTCCATTAACCCAGAACACATCACCCAAGATCTAGGCTGTGGAGGACTTTATTCATCAGACCCAGAGAGCCACGAGTGCCTCCCACAAAGTCCCCACTGCAGGGAGCCAGGGCCCTAGATGCCGGGCCAATGCGTGTGCTGTGAACTGGCCCAATGCATGTGCTGTGAGCTGGACCAGGGGTCCGCTGGTCCCAAGAGCGCCTCTGTGCTCTTCAGACAGCTCCGGGTATGGTGGCCTCGCCAGGTGGCTTGAACCATCTTCGCTGCCATTTGCTGTTGCCTCATCTGCTGGCGGATCTTAAAACCTCTCCAGGCCGACTGAATGGCTGTGGCCGCTTTGTCCCTGCGACGTGGCTGCCTGGGACTCGGGACAGCCCGCTGGTAGGCGGAGGCCCGAGACACTGCCCCGGGGCCCCCAGCACCCTGGCCCATGCCCTGCACCACGCGGGTGGGCTGGGTGCGTCCGCAGGTATGACAGGTGCGAGGGCTGGAGCCCACTAGCATCACCACGCTGGGCGGGCTCCCGATCCTGGAGCTCAGGGAGTGGCAGACGCCGCAAGCTTTTGCCCGGCAGGACTGGAAGCAGCGATGGTCGGATACTGTCCTGGCTCTGCCATCCTGGACCCAGCTTCGGTCAGACATGACCCCGGCCCCGCCGCCCAGCTCCACCCACGTGACGGGGTGGAGCATCTGCCGGTGCCGGGCTTGGTCCCGGCGGGTGCTGTAGCCGCGCCAGGCGGCCTGGATGATTGTGGTGGCTCTGCAGAGGTGTGCCAGGTTCCGCCGCATGCGGTAGCCGCGCCAAGTAGCTTGGATGACCGTGGCCCGCCGGTGCCACACTCGAATCCTGCGACGCACCAGGTAGCCACGGACGCCCGCCTGGATAGTGATCACTGCGAGGATGCGGATCTCCTCTGCAGCCTGCATGGACACCATCGGCTCCCCGGACCGCCTGGGATGCACCACTGCCTTGTTGCGCGGGGTCTCCCAGGACGCAGCGCCCCTGGCTGACTCCCACACGCGTTTCCACGATTGGCCACTAGCCACACCAGCGTCCACGGGGCCCTGGAGTATAGTGGAGTTCAGGGATGCCTTGTGACTAATGGCAGGATTCTGGGGGCTATAGGAGTCCTGCGATCCCCACGGTGACTCCTGGTTAACAAGGGGCGGCAGGGAACCACTCGGGGAAGACTGGTAGCCTAGAGACACCCTCCGAACTCCCAGGGCCGAGGACTGCGCTATCTCCCCAGTGCAGATGATGGGCCTTACCTCTGCAGAGGGCGTACGAGTGAAGTTTGTACCGCCTCGGGCTGAGGCCTGGGATGGTTGTCTTTGCACATACTGGAAGGGCCTAACCCTGGCCACAGAACTTTCTAGCAGTTCGGGAACAATACTACCGTGCCCAGATCTGTAGGAATTTTTAGGGTCCATGGAGTCCCAGCGGCTGCTCTGAGCCAGGTTTCCAGACACTGTTTGCTGGAGTGGAATGGGGACAGCTTCTGTCCGGAAGGGACTGGACGATGCCCTTCTAGCCGAGGACAGATACGGTGGCACATGTGAGACCATGCTGGAGGTCCCTGACCTCTGAGGAAGACTAGGATTCCCCATCCTGTCCACAGACCCTGAAGGCAATCTGAAAGCCTCAGTACTGCCACGGGCCAGCTGGGGTGATCCTGAGAATACATTAGAAGCCACTGTACCCCAAGAGTGATTTTGGGGTATGACATAAGCGACAGACCCCTGTTGATAAACGGAGGGGGTCTTAGTGGCTAAACCCGGGGCCTGGAAAGGGACAGGGACCATGCCACTAGCATGGCTGGGGGCCACCTCCCTGAACAATGGTGTATGGCCTTGGGGAAGAGTCCCTTTCTCAGGGACCTATGATCGCGGCCCCCATCAGCTCCCGGAGGACTGGGGTACATCCACGGGGTTGCGCCAGTGACCCCAGCTTTGCTGATCACGTCATTGGATCTGCTTGATCCTGACACTTGAGACAGAGGCCCATCCAATTCTCCCAGCTCGGCTTGGTCCCCTGTGGCCCCAGATGGCATTATCCCGGCATCTTGGCTCCATTGTAAGGCTCTTGACAGAACCGTGGGCACTCGGTGTAGACTCCTGACTGTGTCACTAGGTGCCGGGGCTGAGGAGTGACCTGGAGCCAGGCTGGTGGTGTGGGGAATCTGCAAGGGGGCTATAGACCTCTCCCTAGCCAGGGCTTTGTGGTAAGGAGGGGCAGTGATGCCAATCACCACGGACCCCTCGGAGCAGCTCTGAGCCACACTAGAGGCCCCCATCATTGGCACAGATCCAGGAGAGACACCTGGGTTCACCCCACTCATTACTGAACCTAGGAGCAAGTTTGGAGCAGCTAAGCTAGCAGAAGGTCTTACAGATAGACTTGGCTTCTTGCTGTCTGCCATCGGGCTGGGAGCCACCCAACTGGACACAGAGCCTGCGGGAAGGCTCTGACCCATGCCTCGGATGGTGGACCCTCGGGGAAGGCTGGAGGTCATGCCACTGGGCAGAGTGCCTGGGACTGCGCCCGTGCTCATCCTACTGGCTACGAAACCCCCTGCCGCACCAAGACCAGCCCGGCTCCTCAGGGAGTCCTGAAGAATCCCATCTCTCTGATGGTAACTGGGTGGGACCATGGGTGCCTCAGAAGGGTGCCAGCGGTCTACGTTTTTTGGAATAACCACACTGATCTGGGAGCTGCTGGGGCCCACGCTTTTCAGGGAAAGATTAGACGGAGTCACAGCCACTCTGTTGGGCACTGAAGCCAGAGAGGGGCTAGGGGCCATCCCTGTGGTTCCAGAGGGATGTGTTAAAGAGGCACCCACCTCTAAGACCTGGGATGCAAGGGAAGCCACCTGACATTCACTTTGGCCCATGCCAGTTGCTATGGTTCTCCAGGGGAGACTCCCAGCTAGGCCAGGAGACGTGGTCCCCTGAGACCCACTAAGGACCATAGCATCAACAAAGGACCCCTGGGGATGTCTTGTAGCCACATCCCTGAACAGAGGCGTGATTTGCTGGCCTACACGACAGACCTCCTCATCAGCATGGGAGAGATTTGGTGTTGAAACACTAACCACAGAGGGTTGACACACATGCCTCCCACCAACCCTGGGCAGATGATGGAACCCAAGGCACAAGTCATTGAACTTGAAGTCCAGGGGGCTGGATACCATCTCACTAACCATCAGGGGCTCTTCACACAGGTTCACCCCAGTACCCAGGGATGGCTGGTTCAGACCCTGGTCCATACTTCCAGCCACAGAGGGATATGGTCCACCCGGGCTAACTGAAACAAACGCTGATGGGTGACACAGGCACGGGGCTACTGAGTTCACCCTTGAACGCTGCAGGTTTGAATCCAGGCTAGAGCCCCAGCATGGCTCATTGAGGCCATGACACATACCACTGACCACAAATGGCTGGGATCGGCTTGGGGCCAACCTAGAGTCCGGGGGTGACTGAGCCAGGCTTAGGGCTTCCCGGTGGGCCACAGATGGTGGGAATAGGCCAGGGGCTATGACTGGCTCGGCTAGGCTGGGGGCTAGGGTATAGGATGAATATGTCTTGCCTGGGCTGGAGACCACAGATGGTTGGGCTTGCCTTGGGGATACTGCAGTGGTCTGAGATGGGTGGACTAAGCGGGGGGCCACCCCACTAGCCACATATGGATGAGCTAGGCTTGGAGACAACCCATGGGGTCCTGATGGGTGGGCTAGGCTTGGGGACACACCAATGGCTTGAGATGGCTGGGCTGGGCTTAAGGACCCCACACAGGTCATGGGTCGGTGGGCTAGACTTGAAGACATCCCTGTGACTTGAGACAGCTGGGCTAGGCTTGGGGATACACCACAGGCCACAGTTTGATGGGTTAGTCTTAAGGGCATCACAGTGACTTGAGATAGCTGGGCAAAGCTTGGGGACACCTCACTGGGTGTAGATCGATGAACCTGGCTTGGGGACACCCTACAGGTCACAGATGCATGAGCTTGGCTTGGGGATATCCTGCTGGTTATAGATGCGTGAGTTTGGTTTGGGGATGCCCTGGAGGTCACTGATGGGTAATCTCGTCTAGGGGACATCCCACTGGCTTGAGATGGCTGGGCTAGGCTTGGGGAAACCCTACTGGCCACAGATTGGTGGGCTACACTTGGGGACACCCCAGTGACCTGAGATGGCCAGGTCAAGCTTGGTGATTCCCCAGTGGCCTGAGGAGTCTGGGCCAGGCTTGGAGACTCCTGAATGGCCATAGATGGGTGAGCTAGGCTTGGGGACACTCCAATGGTATAAGATGGCATGGCTAGGCTTGGGGACACTCCAGTGGTCTGAGATGGCATGGCTAGGCTTGGGGACACTCCAATGGTCTGAGATGGCATGGGTAGGCTTGGGGACACTCCAATGGTCTGAGATGGCATGGGTAGGCTTGGGGACACTCCAATGGTGTAAAATGGCATGGCTAGGCTTGGGGGCACTCCAATGGTCTGAGATGGCATGGGTAGGCTTGGGGACACTCCAATGGTGTAAAATGGCATGGCTAGGCTTGGGGGCACTCCAACAGAAGGCTGGGCTTGGGGACACTCTGATGGTCGGAGATGGCTGGGCCAGGCTTGGAGACTCCCCAGTGGGCTGAGATGGGTAGGCTGGGCTTGGGGACATCTCAGTGGGCTGATATGGCTGGGCCAGGCTTAGGGACTCCCCAGTGACCATAGATGGGTAGGTTGAGCTTGGGGATACCTCAGTAGGCTGAAATGGCTGGGCCAGGCTAGGGAACTCCACAGTGGCCACACATGGGTAGCCTGGGCTTGGGGACACCTCAGTGGCCATAGATAGGAAGGCTGGGCTTGGGGATATCTCAGTGGGTTGATACGGGTAGCCTGGACTTGGGGACACCTCAGTGGCCATAGATAAATAGCATGGGCTTGGGGACATCTCAGTGGGTTGATATAGGTAGCCTGGGTTTGGGGACATCTCAGTGGGCTGATATGGGTAGCCTGGGCTCGGGGACATCTCAGTGGCCACAGATAAATAGCCTGGGCTTGGGGACATCTCAGTGGGTTGATATGGGTAGCCTGGGTTTGGGGACATCTCAGTGGGCTGATATGGGTAGCCTGGGCTTGGGGACATCTCAGTGGGCTGATGTGGGTAGCCTGGGCTTGGGGACATCTCAGTGACCATAGATAGGAAGGCTGGGCTTGGGGACATCTCAGTGGCCATAGATAGGTAGCCTGGGTTTGGGGACACCTCAGTGGGCTGATATGGGTAGTCTGGGCTTGGGGACACCTCAGTGGGCTGAGACCACTAAGCCAGGGTTGGGCACTCCCCAATGGCCTGAGATGGGTAGGCTGGACTTGGGGATACCCCAAAGGCTTGAAATGGCTGGGTTAGGTTTGAGGTTACCCCAAGGGCTTGAGATGGCTGAGCTAGGCTTGAGGACTCCCCACTGTCCATAGATGACTGGGCTAGGTTTTGGGACCCCCAGTTAGCCACTGATTGGTGACCTTGGTCTGAGGCCACTCCAAAGGTCCTTGATGGGTGTCCTCGGCTTAGGGACCACCTAGTCACCATAGATGGCTGTGCTGGTCTTGGTGTCACTCTATTAGGCATAGAGGAGTGTGGCAGCCTTGGTGTCACCCAATTATCCATAGATGGGCAGGTTAGCCTTGGGGACACCTTACTGGATGCTACATGCTGGGATAGGCTTGGGGCCAGCCTACTGAACCCTGATGGCTGGCCTAGGTTTGGGGCTACCCTACTGGCCAGTGTAGCCTGGGACACACTTGGGGCCAAGCTCTTGGCCACAAATGGTGGCTTATATGCAGTGGAGACCACAGTACCTAAAGACAGAGTCCTCCTCAGCTCTGTCTTGATGGTTGCCTGGGACATCTCAATCAGATTCACAGAGCTCTTGTCTAAGGAGAACTTGTGGATCTCAGCCTCTGAGCCCCAGTGAACACGCAAGGTCAAGCAGTTAGACACTGAGCTGTGTTGGAAAATGGGTACTTTCTCCGAGGCTGGAGTGGGCCGGTAGGGAAAGTGTAGGGTCATATATGTATAACCAGTTTCAGTCTCTTGCGTATCCTTAAACCTCTGGAGTGTCCTCATGGACCCCGGAGGAAAAAGGGACTTCACCGCAAGGTCCCCTTCTAAATTGCCTTCCCATGACTCATCTGTCTTGTTGACAGCAGGCAGGCTGGCCACAGACATGGTGGAAAGGCTGAGGGAGCTAGAGCTTTGCAGGGAGCTTTCGGAATTGCTCTCCTGACTGTAGGTCACAGAGCCCTGGGAGAAGCTCCTGGCCAGGTCACTGTCTCGATCCTGCGGCAAACCACCTACCAGCTCACCGAGGATGGACAGCTGGTGGTCGGTTGCCAGCTTCCGGGGGCAGAGCAGGGCAGACACAGAATCCTGTGTTCGATTCCTCCCCTGTCCACAGACAGATGTCTTGGGATGAACTTGAGTCAATGCACTGCCGGGGGAAGCTTGAAACAGACCACGAGTCTTGGATGCCTGAGTTTTGGTCACCATGGTGACCTGCAAGGGACTTAGGGCCCCCTTGTCTATCACCTCCCTAGTACCCGGGGAGGCCTGTTCGCGATTTGGGGGCTGAGACCTCCTCCCCCGGCTCTACTTGGAAGCCCTGGATGCCTGCTGCTGGCCTCTGGCCACTGAGGGTTGGTAGAGACCAGGATGTGCCCTGCTAACCCCTGAGGACTGACACCAAGTCAGGCCCCCACAGGTGGGGTAAGGCTGGTGAACATGGGCAGCCCTCCCACCACCCACACTGCACGGAAGCCTACCCGAGGCCACCCTGCCCTCCCCAGTCGATGGGTGAGAGGCCACCCTGCTGACCACATGTGGCTTGTGGCAGCTCGGGGCCGTGCCACAGGTCATGGAGGGCTGGTCCATGCTTGGGCCCACACCACTGGCAATGAGAGGCTGCCACAGACTCGGGGTTGGCTGCACGTGGGACGGCTTGAGCAAACTGGGACCCTCCCCACTCCCCTCGGGATTAAAATCTGATGCCAATGTGCCAGGCTCTAGGGTCGGGCGTGCATTTTCCTTTTGGAACTTGGGGCTCAAATCCAGGTTTGAGGAGAAGTCCCTGCTGGGCTCCATCTTCCCAGACAGCATGGGATACAGGCCAGTGATCGGGGAGCCCTGGTAAATGCTGGTGATGACGCTACCCATCACAGAGGCTCCCACAGTGACCACAGATAAGCAGGGTGACCCCCACAAGACGGCACCGTCCCCCATCTCCTCCAAGGGCTCGGCAGGTTGGCCCATGGTGAAGCATCCCCAGATCCCAACCTGGAAATCCCTGACCTTGCTGGTCTGTGGTCTCACAGGGCCCAGGGAGGGTCCCCACGCGGCCGACGGACTCCTCCTGCAGGCCACCTCCGCCGGGGCCAGCGTCTTAGTCACCCCGCTTCCTGTTGATTTCGAGGTGGCCTTGGGGAGGGTGGTTCCAGTCCTCAGGGCCACCCGACACCAAGACTGGCTCAGGAGAGCGCCCAACTCGCCCTGACACAAGGCCTGGCTCAGAGCTGCCCGCTCCTCCTCCGTCAAAGCCTTGCTAAGCACCTCGGCCAATTTACCCTGCATGACCTTGGCGAGTTCTGCCCGCAGCTCGCCCTGGGACAGGGCTCGGGACAGGGTCAGGCGCAGCTCACTCCAGGACAGCGCCTTCACCAGCGCAATGCTCAGCATGCTCTGGGGCAGGGCTCTGGCGACAGTGGCACCCAGGACCTCCTTGGACAGGGCCTGGTTCAGAGCTGCCCGGACTTCTCCCTGGGAGAGGGCTTTGGCCAACAGAGTGCGGAGATCCTCCTGGGATGCCAGCACACCAGCTACTTCAGCACACAGGGAGGCCAGCAGGGAGCCTACCGTGTCCTCCTGGCAGGGCACCGCCTGGCTGGGCATTGATGGCTGGGCACGCGTGGCTCCGCTGTCTCCCCAGGACTCAACATGGCATGTGGAATGTCCGGTGGGTGCCATCAGCGGCACCAGCGTACCCTGGACCTCACAGGCTGCCGGGCATGGTCCCCCCTGAGTGGTCTTCCCCGGCACATGTCCATGGGGCTTTGGCTGAGTCCATCTGTCCTCTGGCTTGGCCCAGGGTGGGGCACTCAGGCCACCGAGGTGCTGGCAGGCCTGGTTGGACACCTTGGACCCTGTTAGGAGCACCTGGGAATGGGTGTTGCTGCTGAGATCAGCAGCCTGGTGAGCTGGGATGAGGCGCTTGGTTATGATCGGCTGCCCCCGGGACTGCGTCTTGGTCAGACAGGTGGCCAGAGGCACTTGGGATTGGACCTTCATGGCACCTGTGGCCAGATGTGCCTGGGAATGCATCTTGCTCAGACAGGTGACCAGATGGGCCAGGGATGGGGTCTTGGTCAGCTCGATGGGCAGATGTCCCTGAGATGAGGCCTTGGTCAGCGGGGTGGCCAGTGGTCTCTGGGACAGGCAAGGTGGATGTCTCTGGGATGAGGCGTTGGTCAGTGGGGCACCCGGCTGTCCCCGGGGCAGGGTGACAGCCATGTCTACAGGCACATACAGGTGAGATGGCTTGTCCCCTTTCTCAGCAACTTTTGTCCAGGATGGAGCCCCAGCCACTTCCACTGCCACACTGGTCTTCAATGCCATGTCAGTTTTCACCGGTTTCTGGGGGCCAGTCTTGATTTTCTCAGCTTCCAAAGGAAGCTTAGCTGGAGCCCTGGGGACCCCAGTTCCCAGACGTGATTGGGCCAGGCACCTGATCTTCCCCTCAGCCAAATAGGAGGGGGATGAGGCTTTCACCGCCTCTGCAGCCTGCTTCATATTCATGGTGGCCTTGGCCTTGGGTGGGTTGTCATGGATGGAGCCTCGTACCGCCACTTGGGGTGGAGCCTTGACATTTGCCACTGTTGGAGAGGCCAGACACAGGGTCTTGAGGATGGTGGCCACTGAGCGTAACTGGGCTGGGGTCTTGGTTATCATGGCTGCCAGGCGAGTCTGGCGCTTGGTCAACCCAACTGGGCTCATCTGGGAAGAAGTGTTGGACGTGGTGGCTGCCAGACACGTTTGCAGTGGGTTTTTGGCTGGGGTGGCGACCGGGTGCGTCTGGGGTGGGGTCTTTGCCATCGCAGGCCCTGGGCATACCTGGGGTGGGCTCTTCATGATGGAGGCCAGAAGGGAAACCTGAGGTTGGTGCTTTGCCGTGATGGTTGCGTGGCATGTCTGCCGTGGGGTGCCAGTTCTGGAAGCTGTGGAGTGCACCTGGATCTTGGTCATCGTGGGCATGGGGCATGTGTGAGGTGCAGTTTTGGTCATCACTGTGGGCCCCGGATACATCTGGGCTGGGGTCTTGGTTATTGTTATTTTGGGAACAGGATTAGTCTTGTGTGGGGTGGTGGTCGTCGTGGACGCTGAATATGTCTGCGGCAGGGTCATGGAGATCACCGGATATGTCTGGAGTAAGGTCTTGGTGATCACAGGCCCTGGGCATATCTGGAAAGGGGCTTTGGGGGTCTCTGCTTCCACAGGGCCCTGGGTTTGGGCTCTGGATGGTCCCATGACTGCCTTGTCGTACCTTCTGGACAATGGCGTCTCCGGAATCCCGGCTTTGTGGGTCCGGGCAGTTACACGTTTGGTTTTCACTGAGTCACCTTCTATGTGGACGAGGCAGGTGCTTCTGATGGTTCTGGTCAGCAAGCATGACTGGCATTTTGCATCCAGACTCACTGGGCAGGGAAATCTGATGGTGACCGTCTGGTGTGGCAGGAAGGCCACCCCCCGGACTCCAGCAGCATGAGGAGCCTGCACACAGGGTTCTGGGGTACCCTGAGCTGCTGGAGGCTTCAGGAGGGGGGATGACTGGGGTCTGCAGAGGATCAGATTGTCATAGGAAGGGAACTGGGTCTCCTTGTTCACCATGACGGGCGGGGACAGAAGGCAGTTCTCTTCCGGACGCTGGAAGCGCACCTGCTGTGGGGCGTGATAAGGGATGTTCCCGTCCTCCGCCCTCACTTTCTTCACCAACAACTTGCTGGAGTGCAGGATGTGTCTCTTGTTGAAGCGCCGCCATGCCTCCTGGATGGCCTTGGCCGCCGTCATCTGGGAAATCAGCTTCTGCCGGAGCCGATAGCCCCTCCAGTTGGCTTGGATGAGTGTGGCTGCGCGGGCGTGCATCATGTCCATCTCATCTACCAGGATGTTCTTGAAGGCCTGGCTCTCGACCACAGCCCGGAGGCGTGGGATGTGGCGCGACACTGTCTTGGCTTCAGCAGGCTGTTGCGGAAGATGCTCCTCGGACTTGAGGCCCTCGTGCTGGGGCTGTGGAGGCGCTTTCTCCATTTTGTCCGGGAGACTAGGGGTGGGCGGGGGCTGGAGGATGCACTGCCCATTGGGTGACAAGTGGTTCGTGAACTGTAGCTGGGTGGCCGGCTGCATTGCCTTGATTACTGGACAGGTCAGCCCTGCCTGTGGGGGCGGCAGGGGGTGGTCAGGGTGTAGCAGGTCCTGCAGACAAGAGGTCATCCTACGGCCACTTCATCCTGGCACACAGTGCATGACACCTGAATGCCGGACCACTTAACTGCTTTTCTTTTTTCTTTCTTTTTGTTTTTTGTTTGTTTTTGAGACAGAGTTTCACTCTTGTTGCCCAGGCTGGAGTGCAATGGTGTGATCTTGGCTCACCGCAACCTCCACCTCCTGGTTTCAAGTGATTCTCCTGCCTCAGCCTCCCGAGTAGCTGGAATTACAGGTGTGTGCCACCATGCCTGGCTACTTTTCTGTATTTTTAGTGGGGACGGGGTTTCACCATGTTGGCCAGGCTGGTCTCAAACTCCTGACCTCAGGTGATCCACCTGCCTCGGCCTCCCAAAGTGCTGGGACTACAGGTGTGAGCCACCGCGCCTGGCCTGCTTTTCAAACTTTATCTTGGATGTACCCTGGGTTTAGCACTGATCACAATGTTTTGGAAATTTCCTGTTTCCCTGTGTGTGTGTGTGCGCGTGTGTGTGCGTGTCCGTGTGTGTGTGCGCGTGTGTGTGTGTGTGTGTGAAAAGGATAGAGAAGTGTGGTGGGGGAGATTATTTGCCTCTCCCATTGACTGTGAATCCCAGAAGGCAGAGTCATTATTGTGCCCCATCTCAGTCATAGGGCTTGGTTCTAAGCTGTGAATGGGTAGGTATTGGGTGGGCGGGCATCTTGACCAATAAATGGGGAGGGGATTGGAAGTTGGATGGACAGATAGATACAGGACTAGATACTGAAAGGATGAATCAGTCCATGAGTGAATGGTAGATGGGTTGGAGAGACAGATGAAGGTTTGGATGAATAGGTAAATTAAGTTGATGAATAAAGTCTTAAAGGCAAATTGGCCGGCGGGGGGGGCTCACGTCTGTCATTCCAGCACTTTGGGAGGCCAAGGTGGGCGGATTGCTTGGGGTCAGGAGTTCGAGGCCAGCCGGGCCAACATGGTGAAACCCTGTCTCTACTAAAAATACAGAAAAGTAGGCCGGGCACAGTGGCTCACGCCTGTAATCTCAACACTTTGGGAGGTCCAGGTGAGTGGATCACAAGCTCAGGAGTTCGAGACCAGCCTGGCCAACATGGTGAAACCCCATCTCTACTAAAAATACAAAAATCAGCTCAGCATGGTGGCATGTGCCTGTAATCCCAGCTACTCAGGAGGCTGAGGGAGGAGAATTGTTTGAACCTGGTAGGTAGAGGTTGCAGTGAGCTGAGATCATGCCACCTCGCTCCAGCTTGGGTGACAGAGCAAGACTCTGTCTCAAAAAAAAAAAAGAAAACAAAAGGAGCCAGGTACGGTGGCGGGCACCTGTAGTCCCAGCTACTCGGAAGACTGAGGCAGGAGAATCGCTTGAAGCCGGGAGGAGGAGGCTGCAGTGAGCCAAGATTATGGCATTACACTCCAGCCTGGCAACAAGAGCAAGACACTCCGTCTCAAAAAAAAAAAAAAAAAAAAAGACTGGGTGCGCTGGCTTATGCCTGTAATCCCAGCACGTGGGGAGGCCGAGGTGGGTGGATCACAAGGTCAGGAGATCGAGACCATCCTGGCTAACATGGTGAAACCCTATTTCTTCTTTTTTTTTTTGAGATGGAGTGTCTTGCTCTGTCGCCCAGGCTGGAGTACAGTGGTACCATCTTGGCTCACTGCAAGCTCCGCCTCCTGGGTTCATGCCATTCTCCTGCCTCAGCCTCCCAAGCAGCTGGGACTACAGGCGCCCGCCACCACACCTGACTAATTTTTGGTATTTTTAGTAGAGACGGGGTTTCACCATGTTAGCCAGGATGGTCTTGATCTCCTGACCTTGTGATCCGTCCGCCTCAGCCTCCCAAAGTGCTGGGATTACAGGCGTGAGCCACCACACCTAGCCCCATCTCTTCTAAAAATACAAAAAATTACCCAGGTGTGGTGGGAGGTGCTTGTAGTCCCAGCTACTTGGGAGGCTGAGGCCGAGATCGTGCCACTGCACTCTAGCCTGGATGACCAAGCGAGACTCTGTCTCAAAAAAAAAAAAAAGGCAGATTAACAGAAAAATGGACACATGGTGGGTGGATGGATGGATGGATGGATGAGCAGATGAGTGAATGAGCAGATGAATGGATGGAGGGATAGGCGAATCAATTGATGAATAGATGGGTGGATGGATAAACGGATAGAGGGAGGGAGGGAAGAATAGGTAAGTAGATGGATGGAGAGAGGGAGGAATAGGTGGCTGGATGGATAGATGGATGGTTAGATGGAATGATAGTTGGATGGAGGGATGGACAGACACATAGATGAATGGATGGATGCAGGGGTGCTGGATGAATGGATGGATGGATGGGCAGATGGGTGGATAGATATGTAAATGGACTGGTGAATAGATAGATGGATGGATGGGTAGATGGATGGATGGATAGATGGAGGGATTGATTGATAAATGGATAGAGGGAGGGAGCACTATGTGGATGGATGAACAGATGAATGGGTGGATGGATGAGTGGATGGATGGATGCTTGCATGGATGGATGGGTAGATGGGTAGGTAGATGGGAAGATGGAAAGATGGACTGATGGGTAGGTGGGAGGATGAATGGATACATAGATGACTGGATGAATGATGGATGGTGGATGGGTAGCGGGAGGGACAAATGTAAGGAAGGATGAATGAATGAATGAGTGAGTGGGTGGGTAGATAGATGTAAGATGAGTAGATAAATGAATGTGAAATTAAAGAAGGCCAGGCACAGTGGCTCGCGCCTGTAATCCCAACACTTTGGAAGGCCGAGGCAGGTGGATAACCTGAGGTCAGGAGTTCAAGACCAGCCTGACCAACATGGCGAAATCCTATCTCTACAAAAAAATACAAAAAAGTAGCCAGGCATGGCGGCGCATGCCTGTAATCCCAGCTACTCAGGAGGCTGAGGCAGGAGGTTGCGGTGAGCCAAGATCGCGCCATCACACTCCAGCCTGGGCAATAAGAGTGAAACTCCGTCTCAAATAAAAGGAAGGAGGGAAGGAGGGAGGGAAGGGGAAGGAGGGAGGGAGGGAGGGAACGGAAGGAAATTAAAGAGAGCTGGAGAGACTGGTGAAGAGAGAACCCAGTAGGAGGTAGACTGATGGGTGGATGGGTGGGTGGGTGGATTAAGGGATGGCTAGGTAAATGGCATACAGAAGGATGGAAAGAGGAAGAAAAAGTGGTGACTGTGGCTTTCAGAGGTAACTAGGATGCGGAGAGAGGTGGGACACTGTCAAGTCACCCTGATGCATAGCCTGGAGCACAGCACACTTGTTTGGCAGAAGCCCCTCTCTTCAGGTTGGACTAGCCAGACCCCTTGCCCATGAACCATCTTCTTACCTTGAAGGGTCATAGATTTGGAGGAGTAGCAGGAGAAGAAGGTGCAATCTCAGAAGCCAGCCTGCAAGAGGAGGCAGCCTTCAGCCTTTCATCCATGCAATATGCAGCAACACTGCCCTGGGCTGGCTCTGTCCTCAAGACCAACACAAAAAGAAATGTTAAAAGCAAAAACGCTAAATTCTAAAAAAAAAAAAAAAGAAAAAAGAAAAAAGAAAAAAAAAAACTGCAAGGATGAGGAAATTTATTCCAGTGTTATTTTGTAGCTAGAAATCAAACAAAACAACTGGAAATAACCAAAACAGTGATTAGCAGAGGTTCTGCTACGAACACATACAGAAGTATGCTCAAGCATGTTTAACACTGTATTGTTTAGCAGAGGAAAAACTGGAAGAAACCAAAATTATCAATGGAGAAAGGCTTAAATTAATCATACAAGGGCATGATATCCAGGCATCAGAAATGGTGTCCAGGCTGAGCACAGTGGTTGTTGCCTGCAATCCCAGCACTTTGGGAGGCCAAGATGGGAGGATCACTTGAGGACAGGAGTTTGAGACCAGCCTGGGAAACTAAGCCAAGAACTGTCTCTTAAAACAAAACAAAACAAACAAACAAAAAAAAACACTGGCCGGGTGCGGCTCATGCCTGTAATTCCAGCAATTTGGGAGGCCATGGAGGGTGGATCACCTGAGGTCAGGAGTTTGAGATCAGCCTGGCCAAGATGGTGAAACCCCGTCTCTACTAAAAATACAAGAAATTAGCCAGGCATAGTGGTTGACGCCTGCAATTCCAGCTACTCAGGAGGCTGAGGCAGGAGAATATCTTGAACCCTGGAGGCAGAGATTTCAGTGAGCCGAGATCGTGCCATTGAATTCCATCTGGGGCAACAAGAGCAAAACCCTGTCTCAAAAAAAAAAAAACGGGCACAGTGGCTCACTTCTGTAACTCCAGCAATTTGGAAGGCTGAGGTGGGTGGATCACTTCAGGCCAGGCGTTCCAGACCAGCCTGGGCAACATGGTAAAACCCATCTCTACTAAAAATATAAAAATTAGCTAGGCATTGTGACATGCACCTGTAGTCCCAGCTACTCGGGAGGCTGAGACAGGAGGATCATTTGAGGCCAGGAGATTGAGACTGCAGTAAGCTACGATGGCACCACTGCACTCGAGCCTGAGTGACAGGATGAGACCCCTATCTCTTTTTTTTCTAAAAAGAGTCCTACTCTTATGCCCAGGCTGCAGTGCGGTGTCACAGTCTCGGCTCACTGCAACCTCTGCTTCCTCGGTTCAAACGATTCTTGTGCCTCAGCCTCCAAAGTAGCTGGGATGACAAGTGTGAGCCAGTGCCTAGCTGACACCCTAGATGGTGATTAAAGAGTAAGTATAGGCCGGGCGCGGTGGCTCAAGCCTGTAATCCCAGCACTTTAGGAGGCCGAGATGGGCGGATCACGAGGTCAGGAGATCGAGACCATGCTGGCTAACACGGTGAAACCCCATCTCTACTAAAAAATACAAAAAAAAAAATTAGCCGGGCGAGGTGGTGGGCGCCTGTAGTCCCAGCTACTTGGGAGGCTGACGCAGGAGAATCTGTTGAACCCGGTAGGCAGAGGGTACAGTGAGCT